CCCGCCCCCAGCAGTGGGGGGGGGGCCCCCAAGGGTACTGGGGGGCCCCCTTTGTGTCTTCTTGTTTAGAAATAAAAAGAAAACCCTTGGCCCGAGTGCAGCCCTCGCAGCTGCTGATTTATGTTTCTTATCCTTTTTTTAAAGAGGTTTGGGACTCGGGGGCCGCAGGTGAGGGTTTAGGGTTTAGGGTTTAGGGTTTAGGGTTTAGGGTTTAGGGTTTAGGGTTTAGGGTTTGGGGTTTAGCGCGCGTGGACCGCGTTCTTCTGCAGTCCGCTGAACTCGCCCGTCTCTCCTGCGGCGGAGCCGCCCCCCAGGGTTTGGGGTTTAGGGTTTAGGGTTTAGGGTTTAGGGTTTAGGGTTTAGGGTTTAGGGTTTAGGGTTTAGGGTTTAGGGTTTAGGGTTTAGGGTTTAGGGTTTAGGGTTTAGGGTTTAGGGTTTAGGGTTTAGGGTTTAGGTTTAGGGTTTAGGGTTTAGGGTTTAGGGTTTTAGGGTTTAGGGTTTAGGGTTTAGGGTTTAGGGTTTAGGGGGGTTTAGGGTTTAGGGTTTAGGGTTTAGGGTTTAGGGTTTAGGGTTTAGGGTTTAGGGTTTAGGGTTTATGCAGGGCGCGGGAAACACCCCCGCGTTGGTGAACAGTTTGTTGACTTCGCTGTGCAACATTTCGCCCTTCAGGGTTAGGGTTTAGGGTTTAGGGTTTAGGGTTTAGGGTTTAGGGTTTAGGGTTTAGGGTTTAGGGTTTAGGGGGTTTAGGGTTTAGGGTTTGGGGTTAGGTTTGGGGTTTAGGGTTTAGGGTTTAGGGTTTAGGGTTTAGGGTTTAGGGTTTAGGGTTTAGGGTTTAGACCACTGCGAGAATAGTGACTGCGAAGGCCTCCAGGTGGCGCTTCACGAGGGGCAGTTTGGAAGACAGCGCAGCCAAACGTGGCGCGGTACTACGCGGACGCGAACGTAAACCGCCCGAGGCAGTATTGGGATTATTTAGGGTTTAGGGTTTAGGGTTTAGGGTTTTAGGGTTTAGGGTTTAGGGTTTAGGGTTTAGGGTTTAGGGGGGTTTAGGGTTTAGGGTTTAGGGTTTAGGGTTTAGGGTTTAGGGTTTAGGGTTTAGGGTTTAGGGTTTGTGCAGGGCGCGGGAAACACCCCCGCGTTGGTGAACAGTTTGTTGACTTCGCTGTGCAACATTTCGCCCTTCAGGGTTAGGGTTTAGGGTTTAGGGTTTAGGGTTTAGGGTTTAGGGTTTAGGGTTTAGGGTTTAGGGTTTAGGGGGTTTAGGGTTTAGGGTTTGGGGTTAGGTTTGGGGTTTAGGGTTTAGGGTTTAGGGTTTAGGGTTTAGGGTTTAGGGTTTAGGGTTTAGGGTTTAGGGGCAGACTTGTTCACGCACTACATCGCTGGCAAACCCTTGGCCGACTGCAGCGTTTCCGTTTTGAGCGGAGCTCTTTTATCCGCCGATTTGTTGTTGGAGGTTTTGAATGTTTCCAGAGACCTCAACATTCGTCCGCCAAACCCTAAACCCTAAACCCTAAACCCTAAACCCTAAACCCTCAGTTTGGAGTCTAGGCCGGCGGCGGCGGCCTAGGCGGCGCGCCTGAGCCTTTTTTCTTCAGCTGCCAAAGGCCCCTGTAAGGGTTTGGCTTTAGGGCTCAGGGTTTAGGGTTTAGGGTTTAGGGTTTAGGGTTTAGGGTTTAGGGTTTAGGGTGTAGGGTTTTTGCCTCAGGGCGCGAGCTGGTGCTTCAACTCTCCCGCATGAGGCAAAGGCTTCTCTGCGGACCAATTCAGCGTTTTCTGCGGTCGGTGAGAGCCAAACCCTAAACCCTAAACCCTAAACCCTAAACCCTAAACCCTAATTGATTTGTAGAGCCCAGGGCCTAACTCTCACGACTTCGGGGGCCCTTTATGTGCCTTGAGGTCTTTCTGCGGCTTTTGCAGTGGACAACCCAGAATTTAGGGTTTAGGGTTTAGGGTTTAGGGTTTAGGGTTTAGGGTTTAGGGTTTAGGGTTTGCGGCGCTGCAGATTCACCGTCGGCGGCCTGGGGCAGTCCGCGCTTTGCAGTTGAGAAGTGCAGAACATATTTGGTTGGTTTACAAAGAGGAGACAATTTACATTGTGGGTTTAGGGTTTAGGGTTTAGGGTTTAGGGTTTAGGGTTTAGGGTTTAGGGTTTAGGGTTTAAGGGTTAGCCATTTCAAAACTTGTGCAGCTGTTTGTACTATTGGCTGTGCCTTTCTTTGTCCCCTCTCTCTAGTTTCGTTTATGGCTCTTCTTTGTCAGCTAAAGATCTAGGGTTTAGGGTTTAGGGTTTAGGGTTTAGGGTTTAGGGTTTAGGGTTTAGGGTTTAGGGTTTAGGGTGGGGGTTTAGGGTTTAGGGTTTAGGGTTTAGGGTTTAGGGTTTAGGGTTTAGGGTTTAGGGTTTAGGGTTTATGCAGGGCGCGGGAAACACCCCCGCGTTGGTGAACAGTTTGTTGACTTCGCTGTGCAACATTTCGCCCTTCTTTAGGGTTTAGGGTTTAGGGTTTAGGGTTTTAGGGTTTAGGGTTTAGGGTTTAGGGTTTAGGGTTTAGGGGGGTTTAGGGTTTAGGGTTTAGGGTTTAGGGTTTAGGGTTTAGGGTTTAGGGTTTAGGGTTTAGGGTTTATGCAGGGCGCGGGAAACACCCCCGCGTTGGTGAACAGTTTGTTGACTTCGCTGTGCAACATTTCGCCCTTCCTGCAGGTCCACCGCTTCATCTGTTCTGACGTCCTTCGGTTCAGTTTGACTCTGCAGTACTGCCGGGTGCAGATTTGCAAACCCTAAACCCTAAACCCTAAACCCTAAACCCTAAACCCTCGACCCCGCACTGAGGCCGCTGTCCGCTAAACCCCCAACCTCTAGGGTTTAGGGTTTAGGGTTTAGGGTTTAGGGTTTGGAGTGTGAGCTGCAGGAAATTGCCAAAACAACTACTGAGGGGCCCAAGCGCCTATCTGCTGCCTCTGCTGCAGCAGAAGTTCCTGAGGCCCTGCGGGGTAGGCTGGCTCAAACCCTAAACCCTAAACCCTAAACCCTAAACCCTAAATCGTGGTTTCAGTGCAGAGAGATGAAAGCTCTGCCACGCAAGGCCCTGTGCCAGCTGCTCTGGGCGCAAACCGCCGACTCAGCTCCAGGGTTTGGCGTTTAGGGTTTAGGGTTTAGGGTTTAGGGTTTAGGGTTTAGGGTTTGGTTCTGCAGGTGAAATCGAGGATGGAGACTTCCCAGCAGATGAGCTAGCGGTGTTTCTGCTTTTCGGTAAGAACTCAGGCTTCAGGTTTTGCAATCTAGGGTTTAGGGTTTAGGGTTTGGGGTTTAGGGTGTAGGGTTTAGGGTTTGAGGTTTAGGGTTTGCAGCACTATCATAGAATCTAATTCTCCTCTTCAGTGGTGCAAATCTGCGTGCTTTTGCCTTGTCGGTTATTTGATGCTTAGGGTTTAGGGTTTAGGGTTTAGGGTTGAGAAACAAGGGTTTAGGGTTTAGGATTGAGAAATAAGGGTTTAGGGTTTAGGGTTTAGGGTTTGCGTTTAGGCATCCCCGCGCGCATTTTCTCTGGGGACTTTTCAGCGGCCACGAGAAGCCTGCGGGCTCTCACTCTAAGTGAAATGGGTTGGTATTTAATTAGGGTTTAGGGTTTAGGGTTTAGGGTTTAGGGTTTTCATTTCTCCTCATTTGTTTGTTGCTGCAGTTCGGCCTTTCCTTTTGTCTTCATTTGCCTTTTTATAAATATCTTTTTGTTTCTCTTCTGTTCCTTTTTGTCTCTTTTTCTTTTGCTGCTGCTGCTGCTGCTGCTGCTGCTGCTGCTGCTGCTGCTGCTGTTGCAGTTGCTCCCGCTGCTGCTGCTGTTGGTGCTGCTGTTGCTGCTGCTGTTGCTACTGCTGCCGCTGTTGCTGCCGCTGCTGCTGTTGCTGTTGTTGCTGTTGCTGCTACTGCTGTTGCTGCTGCTGCTACTGCTGCTGCTGCTGCTGTTGCTGCTACTGCTGTTGCTGCTACTGCTGCTGCTGTTGCTGCTGCTGCAGTCATATCGGTGCAGCCTCACGTGGAAGAAGTTGTCAAGAGAGAACTCTTGAGGTTTTGGAGACTTTTAGAAACCAACTAAACTTTGGACTCGAGGATTTAGGGTTTAGGGTTTAGGGTTTAGGGTTTAGGGTTTGTAGGGCCAGTAGGACTAACCGGGACGGCTAACCAACTAAACTTTGGACTCGAGGGTTTAGGGTTTAGGGTTTAGGGTTTAGGGTTTGTAGGGCCAGTAGGGCAAACCGGGACGGCTCCAAATCCCATCTTGGAGACCACAACCTAGGGTTTAGGGTTTAGGGTTTAGGGTTTAGGGTCTGCGATACGAACACTGGGATATCAGAAATTGACTCTGCTGCATACGTCTAGGGTTTAGGGTTTAGGGTTTGGAGATGCATGCGCATGCAAAACAGAATGAAGCATTCATTTATTTTAATTTAAATTAAACTTTTATTATTATTTTATTTTTAATTTAAAACTTTTAATTTAATGGCGCATTTCTCCACTTGGGAAGTGCGCACAAGAACTTGAGGTGTACATACACCTCAGCCCCGCAGCAGCTGCCTCCGCGGCCAAACACCAGCAGCAAATATTTATTAATTATTTATTTATTTATTTATTATTTATTTGTTTATTAATTATTTATTTATTTATTATTAATTATAATATTGAGTAAATAATAAATAAATAATAAATAAATGGATTTGTAAATAAATAAAAATTTGATTCGAAAAAAGAAAAGACAAAAATGGCTTCGCCTTTGAATTGTGAAGTGACAGTGCAAATAATGCAAAATAATAAATGAAATAAAACAAACAAACAAATAAATAAATAAAATAAATAAATAAATAAATAAATAAATAAATAAAATAAATAAATAAATAAATAAATAAATAAATAATTACCAATCCATTTGTTTATTTATCATTTATTTACTTATTTTTTAGAATTTATTAAAATGGTTTGCCATTTATAAAACTTTTCCTTTTTATTCCAATTTGTTTTATTTCCTTTTCCGCTTCTGCCTGCGAAGGGCCAAAGACAGCCGCCTCCCCCTAAACCCTAAACCCTAAACCCTAAACCCTAAACCCTAAACCCTCGCGTCCCGCTGTGCCGCAAGTTCGGTCAAAAGTCTTAAATGCTGAGACGAAATGACAAAACAAAATTCACCAACAAACCCCTAAAGGCCCTCTTGTGGGGCCCCGGGGGCCCCCCAAAAGGGTACTTAGGGGGCCCCCGGGGGCCCCCCAAAAGGGTACTTAGGGGGCCCCTGGGGGCCCCCTAAGTACCCAACACAGGGCCCATCTGGAAGCCCCCAGGGGGGCCCCAGGGGCCCCCAGGGGCCCCTTAAAAAAGCCTTTAATGTGGGGCCCCCAAAAGGGCCCCTGAAGGGTGGGGGCCCCTAGAAAGGGGCCCCCTACTAGGGGGCCCCCACAGGGGGCCCCCCTTGGAGAGGGGGCCCCCCCAAGGCAGACCCCAAAGGGGGCCCCCCCAGGGCCCCCAAAGGGGCCCCAGAAGAGCCAAAGACACAGCTGCGAGACCCTGGGGGCCCCCTGGGGCCCCCTAAGGGCCCCTGGGGGCCCCTGGGGCCCCCTAAAAGCCCCTGGGGCCCCCTGGGGCCCCCTGAGGGCCCCTGGGGGCCCCTGGGGGCCCCCGTGGGGCCCCCGTTTGCTTTAGTGGGGGGAGTCTGGGGACTGCATTTGCTGCTGCAGCCTGGCAGCTTCCTGGTCAATGCGGAGTTGCTGCTGCAGCAGCAGCGCAGCTTTTGCTGCTGCTTCAGACAGCTCTTTATATTCGCCCAAAAGGGCCTCGAGTTCGGCCACTCTTAGCTGCCCAGCTGTACGTACACCCTGGAAGCTCCGCGGCAGCCGCAGCAGCTGCTGCAGCAGCAGCCGCACCTGCTGCTGCTGCAGCAGCCGCTGCCGCTGCAGCAGGTGGTTGCTGCTCTCCACCTGCAGCGCGAGCGCCCCGCGGGGCCCCCCTAGGGGCCCCCCCAGGGGCCCCCCCAGGGGGCCCCCCAGGGGGCCCCCCAGGGGCCCCCCCTGGGGGCCCCCCGGGGGCCCCCCCTGGGGGCCCCCCTGGGCCTCTTTCTGCAGCAGCTCGAGGGAGGAAAGGGCCGTGGCTGCAGCAGCCAGCGCAGTACCCGTCCCGGTGTCCCCCCCTGCTGCTGCAGCAGCAGCAGCAGCAGCAGCAGCAGCAGCAGCGCCCTGCTGCTGCGGCGCGCGCTCCGCTGCTGCTGCCGCCGCAGCAGCAGCAGCAGCAGCAGCAGCTTCCTGCTGCTCCTGCTGCTGCAGCGCGCGTTCTGCTGCTGCCATTCTGCGGGCAAAAAGCCCAGAGTCCATCCGGAGAGACACCCCGGGGGCCCCCGGGGCCCCCAAAGACTTCAAAAACGAAACTGCAGCAGAAAGATGAGTAAAGAAGTAAGCCTCGGGGCCCCCCTGCATGCGCTCGGGGTGTCTGTACACCGCAACGAACTGGAGGTTGCTGCAGAGGCGCGGCGGGCGGGCGCGCAGCAAAGTGAAGATCAGCAGCGGCAGCAAATCGTCAGCAGCAGCAGCAGCAGCAGTTTGCTGCTGCGCTGCTGCCAGCAAAATGCTGGAGCAATTCACCACTGCCCGCAGCTTGTCTTTCGGCGCCCGCAGCCGGTCCACCTTCAGCAGCTCCAGCCCCGCCTGCTGCACCTCCGGCAGCTCCTCCGCTGCTGCTGCTGCTGCTGCTGCTGCTGCTGCTGCTGCTGCTGCTGCTGCTGCTGCTGCTGCTGGTGCGGGCGACGCCGCCCCAGAGCCCGCTGCTGCTGCTGCTGCTGCTGCTGCTGCTGCTGCTGGGGAGCCGTCTTCGCCCGGGGACGGCGCCGCAGCCCCCCCCTCCGCTGCCGCTGCTGCTGCTGCTGCTGCTGCTGCTGCGGGGGGCCCCCGGGGGCCCCGGGGGGCCCCCCAGTGGGGGATCTCGAGGTGGTGGGGTTGGATCCAAGACAAGCATTTTATTTTTCTGTCAAGTTCCAAATCTTCTTTTCTTTCTTCTTCCGTTTCTTTCGGCAAAACTGAAAACAACTTTTGAATCAAAAACCTCTCCAAACCCTCGCCCACTTCCGCAGCCTCCCACGCGCCCTCGGGGGCCCCCCCGGGGGCCCCCCAGGGGGCCCCCCCCGAAGGCGGGAGTGCGGAGGAGTTGGAGTTGTGTTTTGGAAATGAATGCATGCAGCAAGTCTGCTGCTTCCTGTCGAGACACCCCGAGGGGAAAAGCCTCCACGAATCTGCGCAGCTGCAGCACAGCAGCAGCACAAGAAGGGTCTTTGAGGCGGTCCAGGAACAAGTTGTAGGGAGTTCGGGGCCTCGCGGGGGCCCCTGCTGCTGCTGCTGCTGCTGCTGCTGCTGCTGCTGCTGCTGCTGCTGCGGGCGCGGGCGCTGCTGCTCCGCGCGCGGGCGCCGCGACGGACGGCGACGCGGGGCGCTGCTGCTGCTGCTGCTGCTGCAGCGGGGAAGCAGCAGCAGCAGCAGCAGCAGCAGCAGCAGGGGCTCGCGAGGAGAAGGGGCCCCGCACCGGAGACAGGGGGCCCCCAGGGGCCTCGGGGGCCTCTGCTGCGCTGCTCTCCCCAGGGCCCTCCTGCTGCCGCTGCCGCTGCTGCTGCTGCTGCTGCTGCTGCTGCTGCTGCAGCAGCCGCTCGAACTCCGTGCGCCCTTGGGGACCGCCGGAAGACCGCGAACCTGCTGCTGCTGCTGCTGCTCCTGCTGCTCCTCCTGCTGCTGCTGCTGCTGCAGGCGACGGCGATGTCTGCTGCTTCCCGCTGCCCCGCAGCACGCCGAAGCTGAAGGGCAAAGCCCGCAGCAGCCTGCTGGCAGCGCCCCCACTGGCAGCTGGCTGCTGCTGCTGCTGCTGCTGCTGCTGCTGCTGTTGCTGCTGCTGCTGCTGCTGTTGCTGCTGCTGCTGCTGCGTGGAAGCTGCAGCAGAGGCAAAGGCCGGAGATGTCTGCTGGGCCTCGCGAGGGCCATCACTCCCGTCCGAGGTGGTTGCTCGGCTTGCTGCTGCTGCTGCTGCTGCTGCTGCGCTTGCTGCTGCTGCTGCTGCTGCTGCTGGGGAAGCAGCGCCTTGCTGCTGCTCTTGCTTCGGCTCCTGCAGCTCGCTCTCTTGCGCCTCCGGCTGTCCCGACAGCTGCCGCACTGCAGCAGCTGCTGCAGCAGCAGCTGCTGCTGCTGCCGCTGCGCCCCGGCCCTCAGCAGCAGCAGCAGCAGCAGCAGCAGCAGCAGCAGGGTCACCTTCTTCTGCTTCTGGGGGCCCCTCAGGAGGCGAAAAAGCTGAAGCAAGATCTGAAGAGCTGCGGCAGGGCCCCACAGCTTCCCCAGAACGCATGCAAGGGGGGCCCCCCTCTTGCTGCGCTGCTGCTTCGCTGCTGCTGCGCCCTGCTGCCTCCCCCGAGGGGGCCCCCAGGGGGGCCCCCAGGGGGCCCCCCAGGGGGCCCCCCAGGGGGGCCCCCAGGGGGGCCCCCAGGGGGGCCCCCAGGGGGGCCCCCAAGGGGGGCCCCCTATCCAGCTCGTGGGGCCCCGAAGTCTCTCTGCTGTCTACCCCTGCAACGCGCAAACTCAGCAGCGCCTGCGGTGTTGCTGCTCCCGCTGCTGCTGCTGCTGCTGCTGCTGCTGCTGCTGCTGCTGCTGCTGGGGGGTCCTGGTGGGGAGGATGCCACAGACCCGAACGGACCCCAGCAGCAGCAGCAGCACTTTCCCCATTTTGGAGGGGCCCCCCAGCCTCGGGGGGCCCCCCAGCCTCGGGGGGCCCCCCAGCCTCGGGGGGCCCCCCAGCCTCGGGGGGCCCCCCTGGCTTTGCTGCTGGGGGCCCCCAAAAGGCTTCGGGGGTCACGGGGGCCCCCGGGGGCCCCCCAGAGTCCCCCTGGGCCCTGGGGGGCCCCGAGATTTCTATGGGAAACCCCAAGGGGGCCTTTTGAAGGGGCCCCTGGGGGCCCCCCTGGGGCCCCTGGGGGCCACCCTTGCCCTCCTGAGGGGCCCCTTCGGGGGCCCCCAGACCCTCTTGGGGGCCCCCCTGAGACTCCTGACCCAGGGGGCCCCCTGGGGGGGCCCCCCGGGGGGTCCCCTCAGGGGGCCCCCGAGGGGCCCCCAGGGGAGACCCCAGGGGGGCCCCCAGAGGGTCCCGCAGGGGGGCCCCCTGGGGGGCCCCCAGAGGGGCCTCGTGAGGACTCTGTGGGGTGACTGGCTGGCTGTTGGATTGCTGCTGCTGCTGCTGCTGCTGCTGCTGCTGCTGCTGCTGCCATGGTGAAGAAGGTAATGGGTCCTGGAGGGCCCCAACGGAAGATGCATGTGCTGCTGCTGCTGCTGCTGCTGCTGCTGCTGCTGCTGCACTCTTGGGGGCCCCCTGGGGGGCCCCCTGCGGCGTTAGGGCCTCAGCAGCAAGACGCGGGGAAGCTGCAGCATCCTGCTGCTGCTGCTGCTGCTGCTGCTGGGAGTGCTGCTGCTGCTGCTGCAGCAGCTGCTGCTCCAACGAGGCTGGCCGCTGCTGCTGCTGCCACGCACCCAAAGCCGTTTCAGGCGACTGTACCTGCTGCTCCTCGTCCTGCTGCTGCTGCTGCTGCTGTTGCTGCTGCTGCTCTTGCTGCTGCTGCTGTTGCTTATTATTTGCTGCCTCTGGTGAATCCGGAAAAGGAGAAAGAGCAGGGGAAGGGGTATCTTGCTTCCACTCTTCCCACACTCCAAGAGTTTGTGGCTGCTGCTGCTGCTGCTGCTGCTGCTGCTGCTGCTGGATATCCGCTGCTGCTGCTGCTGCAGCGTTTTGCTGCTGCAGCTCACTGGTGAGCACAAAGTGCGAAGAAGGCGGCGGCTCCTGGTGCTGCTGCTGCTGCTGCATGTCCCCAAAAGATTCATCTCCCCGCTGCTGCTGCTGCTGCTTCTGCTGCTGCTGCTGCTTCTGCTGCTGCTGCTGCTGTGTGTCTGCTGCTTCTATAGCTGCTGCAGCACCTTGAAGTTTCAGCGAAGCAGCAGGGCCTTGCTGCTGCTCCGCCACTGGGGTCGACTCCCAGTCTCCCCAAGTGTCAGCCAGCACCTCTTGCTGCTGCTGCTGCTGCTGCTGCTGCTGCTGCTGCTGCTGCTTCTGCTGCAGTTGCAGTTGGGGGCTTCCGTGCTGCAGCTGCTGCAGTCCAGCTGCGTCCAGTGCCTGCCGCTGCGGCAGCACAAGCTGCGGCGAGCTGGAGGCTGGGGGGCCCCCCAGAGGGGCCCCCCCCCAAAGGGGGCCCCCCGGCCCCCCAGTACCCTCTGGGGGCCCCCTGGGAGAAGGGCCCCCAGCCAGCTTTGTGGGGTCTTGGAGGGCACTTGCTGCTGCAGCAAGCTGCGGGCTAGCGGGGGCCCCCGCAGCTGCTGCAGGTGAGAAGGGGCTGTTGGCCTGGGGGCCCCAGGGGCCCCCGGGGCCCCCGGGGCCCCCGGGGCCCCCGGGGGCCCCCGGGGGCCCCGCAAACGACCCCGGAGAGGACAAAGGGGCCCCCTGGGGCCCCTGGGGCCCCTGGGGCCCCTGGGGCCCCTGGAGGTGCAGGTCAGGGCCCAGGCCCAGGAGGCCCTCCAGAGGCGAAGCTGCAGCAGGGCTGCGCGCGGAGGGGGGCTTGGGGGGGCCCCCCCCCACTTGTGAAGGAGTAAAAGGAGGCCGGGGGCCCCCCGAAACGTCAAAGTCCACAGAAGAGGGGCTTTTGAGAGCCTGAGGGGCCCACATGGCGGCGCTGGCGGGCGCTGGCCGCGGGCGCTGAGCGCGGAAGGCGGCCTTGTCAGGAGCTGGAGCGAGGCGAAAAAAGGGAAACTTGGAGCAGTTGCGGGGAATGCTTTTGGGGAAAAAGAAAAGGAAGCAAAAAGATTCAAAATTGACAGAAGAACGGAAGTGAGGAACGCCTGCTGCGCCGGCCGCGCAGTCAACGGAAGCTGCGTGTACACCCGAAGAACTCCGCAGCTTCTGGAGGCATTTCTCAGGAACACGAAAGTCTTTTTGGGAACTTTCGAGCTTTTTGCAAAGCCAAAAGCATTTCCTTTCTTTTGGTCCCGGAGATTCCGAAGAAAGACTTAAGTGGCCGCGGCTGCCTCGACGGCGGCTGTCTGCCGCAGCCAGCTGCCAAGACACCGCGCGGACTTGAACGCCGGCGAATAACGCCTTTAAAGACGCCAAAGGCCTTCGAAAAAAGGCTTTTTAAAAAGCAAATTCAATTTCTAATTCAGTTCTCGAAAAAAAAACAAAGTTTCCCCGCAATTTCCCGCGTTTTCGCGAACCCGCAAGCGCAGCTGCTGGTCTGGCTGGCTCCGAACTCCGTTTGAACACTTCGCCGTTGAAGCGGCTCTAAAGCGAATTCAAAAATGCAAAATGGATTTTAAAAAGCAAAAAGACAGAAAGATGAGGCGCTACGCAGCACAGATCGCAGCAGCAGCAAACACGGCGAAAAAAAAAGGTCGCAGCTGCAGCAGCAGCTTTTCGAAATTCTGTTCTTCTTTTTGGCAAACTCCCCGGCTCTTCGGGTGTCTAGACACCAGAACTGCTTGGCTTTTGGCCTCCCTTTGTATTCAAAAAAAACTTCTCACTTTTTAAATTCTCATTCTTGAGGAAGCAAAGCTGCGGGAAGCACAATTCAACTTTTGCTGCTGCTGCAGCACAACAGCAGCTCCTGCGTTTTGCTGCTGCAGCACAGCAGCAGCACAGCAGCAGCAGCAATCTTTGGGAAGAAGAGAAGCAAGCGACTCTTGCCTCTGTATCTGCTTCTTAGAACTTAATCAAGAGCCCAAAACCCATATGCTGCAGCAGCAGCAGCATATGCTGCAGCAGCAGCAGCAGCAGCAGCAGCTGCTGCTGCTGCTGCAGCAGCTGCTGCTGTGACATGGATTCCTGAGGAGAAGCAGCCAGCACCTGCATACAGCAGCGGCTGCTTGGGGATTTTAGGGTTTAGGGTTTAGGGTTTAGGTTTGCTGCTGTGTTTGGGGTCTCTGCGCATGCAGCAGCAGCAGCAGCAGCAGCAGCAGCAGCAATTCACTTTCTCATATTCAGTTAATATGTCTCAGTTTCGCAGCTCAATAAAAGCCTGGCCAAAGTGGCTAGCTGCAGCTAGCTGCCCAAGCCAGCCCTTGTAGCTAGCTGCTGCAGCAGCAGCTGCAGCAGCTGCTGCTGCAGCAACTGCAGCTAGTTGCTGCGGCAGCTACAGCAGCAGTTGCTGCAGCTACTTGGGGATCAGCAGCTAGCTGCGCCCAGTAGCTGCTGCTGGGACTTTCGCTGCTTCCGCTAGCTAAAGCTGGCAGCAGCACACTGCTGCTGCAATTGCTGCTGTTGCTGCTGCTGCTGCTGCTGCTGCTGCTGCTGTAGAGAAGAGCTATCTAGTTGCCATCCTTCGCAGCAAATGCTGCTGCTGCAGCAGCGGCAGCTGCAGCCAGCAGCAAATGCAGCTCGTGCAGCCGCAAGCGCAGCAGCTGCAGCGCAGCAGCAACAGCAGCAACAGCAGCAACAGCAGCAAACCACGCAGGCGGCCCCCGGCACAGCAGCAGCACAAAGTTTAGCCACCAAAAAGCAGCAGCAGCAGCAGCAGAATGCAGCAAAGTCTGCCCTCTGGGCCAACGAACACCAGCAGCAGCAGCAGCAACAGCAGCGGCAGCAGCAGCAGCAGCAGACACGACGGTACAAAGGGCGCCACTGGAGCAGCAGCAGAACTGCCTTTGCTGCTGCTGCAGCAGTATCTGGGGGCGCTGTGAGAAGGGCAGCGCATACACAGCAGCAGCAGCAGCAGCAGCAGCAGCAGCAGCAGCAGCAGCACGGGGAGTGCTGCTGCTGCGTCTCAGCTTTCAACTGCAGAAAGTGGAAAACTAAAAGCAAAACAAAAAACAAATAAAATATTTTATTTTATTTTCGCAAATTAAATATTTTTTGGCCTCCTGTGGGGCCCGCTCGCGCATGCTGCTGCCTGGGGCTTGCTGCTGCTGCCACTGCAGCAGCAGCAGCAGCAGGGGCAGCAGCAGCAGCAGCAGCAGCAGCTAACTGCAGCAGCAGCTCGTCAGCGCGATTTCCGCGGTGCGCGAGAGTGTAAAGAATAAGGAGATATCCGTGTGGGCGCTTGCAAGCGGGAGCCGCCGCAAACCCTAAACCCTAATTCGTGGTTTGCGACTTTGCGCCGGTGGCCTCGCTCTCCGCTGGCCGCGCAGAAGAGAGTTTCCCGACGCTCCAGGGTTTAGGGTTTGGACTTCGCCAGGGCTGCGCGCAGCCAGGGTTTAGGGTTTAGGGTTTAGGGTTTAGGGTTTAGGGTTTAGGGTTTAGGGTTTAGGGTTTAGGGTTGGGGGTTTAGGGTTTAGGGTTTAGGGTTTAGGGTTTAGGGTTTAGGGTTTAGGGTTTAGGGTTTAGGGTTTATGCAGGGCGCGGGAAACACCCCCGCGTTGGTGAACAGTTTGTTGACTTCGCTGTGCAACCGGCAGCCAGGGTTTAGGGTTTAGGGTTTAGGGTTTAGGGTTTAGGGTTTAGGGTTTAGGGTTTAGGGTTTAGGGTTTGCAATGGCGGACGACGAGAACGACCAGATGTTCGCCGAGCCCTTCGGCGACGACTTCGCCGACGAGTTGGGCGAAGAAGACTTCGAAGAAGACTTCGAAGACGCGCGAGCAGCAGCAGCAGCAGCAGACCCCGACGTGGACCTTCTCGTGGACCCCAACGACCCCAGGCTCCAGGTGCTGCTGCTGCTGCTGCTGCTGCTGCTGCTGCTGCTGCTGCTGCTGCTGCTGCGGTGCTGGTGGTGGTCGTGGCGGTGCTGGGGGTGGTGGTGTTGTGCTGCTGCTGCTGCTGCTGCTGCTGCTGCTGCTGCTGCTGCTGCTGCTGCTGCTGCTGCTGCTGCTGCTGCTGCTGCTGCTGC